TTTGGAGAGGTTTTTGCTATAGGGCGCATGCACTCGCCAGAAAGACAGAGAGACGGAGAGACAGAAAACAAGAAAACACCCCCCAGAGAGGATAGCCACGCTGCAATCCCTTCTCCTTTTGGGATCTTGGGCACACATGCACATGCACCTGGCGTGAGTTTAAGCCACCAGGTCCAGGACTCGAACCGTGGTCAGCTACATGGGAATCCAGCGACACAGCCATTACTCTAACTGTTGGTCCCAGCGACATTGCCATTATGCCAACTGCTGGTCCGCCATTTCAAAATTTAAAAAGGCCTCCAATGAGAATCTGACCTAATGCTGAGTCATGGGAAGAGCTGTTTGAGGAGTGGCCAGATGAGAAACCAGAAATAAGTATTTTAAGGAATCAGGATAATTACTCAGGGGGGAACTAACTGACTCCAATCATAGTGAGGAATGATTTGCACGTGCTTCTCTCTTGCCCCTATCAATATTAAGAACATGCTAAGCTTTTCAAGACAGTTCGATGGTACTTGCTATCTCCCTGTATCTGGTTACAGAATAAACTCCCTTCTTCTCCAGCCTCTGCCTCTCATTTCATGGATCACAAAAAAGAAGCAGCCAACTTAGTTTGGCTGGTAACAATATCAGAAACAGAAATAAATAAATGTCAGCATTTCACCAGTGTATAAGACTTTCTAAATAATGGTTAGACCTTGCTGGGAACTATATGATAGAATAAGGTTGTAAGCTAGAGAAAAATGAGATTGAATGCTGACACACACTGCACAGCAACCAGTTGGGACAGTCTTAGGAGCGTGAAGTTCAGAACACTGGAATGAGATCAGCATGAAAAAGTGTGTGGATCATTCATCTCAAGACAGACCCAACAGGAAAGAATCTATGCAATGCCCGTATCAGGAACCATAAGGATTGTTTGTCCCAGGTAACAGTAATGGCCTGCAAGAGTTCATCTCTAAGAGATTGCTGTTCTTCACTTGACAGAGAGAGAACCTTCGCCCACTCCCTGCTTAAGATCGTTTAGATTGTCTGGGATCTCATCTCCTGAGCCTCTGAGTCCCATCTTCCCACACTTTTGTGTCTGTCTCTCTGTTTACCCTCTGCACCCATCCTTCATTTGCCCTGTTCTCCGGACTGGATCTTGCAAGTCCTTATTTCTGTTCTTGCATTATAATGTTTTATCAATTATCCCAGATATTTCTATTTTTATAATTTTCCTATTTTATTTTATTTTTGTATGTATATATAGCCCTTATTTTACAAGTTCCTTCCATTCAATCACTGCACAACTCTATAGAGAAAAATACGGTTTTTCAAAGAATGCATGCAATCAAATAAAGGCTAGAACCACATACATCACCTTTAACAGAGAACTTGACATTCTTGTGTCTATTAAGTGTTTCTTCCCTGAGCTCCTCTCACCCTCCCTCTCCTATCCATGAGCAATTGGTCAGAAAACTACAAAATGAAATGAGATGTCACCATTCATCTACTCACAATGCTGGGGGGAATGAGAATTGTTTTAGGTTTCTGACAAACAATTAGCAATATTAATTAAAATTTTAAAACATGCATGTCCTTTCTCTCAACAATATTATACTTTGGAATCAACTCCATGAAAACAAAGTATCCATGGGTAAGGATATAAAAACAATATTTACTGCAGTCCTGTTCATGAAAAAAAAATCTCTAAACAGTCTGATTGAGTCACAGAATAAGGAATGATAACTTCATATTTTGAATAAGTGCATCTTTAAAAGAACAAATTATATCTTAAAATCTAGACAGCTAAAAATGATGCATCATTCACAAAAAATGAGATTCAGAATAGTGTATATTATATGACCTAATTTGTGTGAAAGACATAATAAAGCAAAAATAAACCCCATTTTTATTAATATAAAATCCCATTGATTAGTAAAAAGGCTTACATGAGCACGGAGAAAGATACAGAAGCAGAAATGTACAAAGCAAGCTGTTTATCTCAGAAACGTGGGACCGAAAACAGTTAAGGAATTAAAGTTAACTTTTTAGCCACAACTGTTTGCTCTTACATGTTATGATGAGATTTATGATTTTACGACTCTATCACCTTATAAAGAAACTGTAACGAAATGAAATAAAGATTTCAGTTGCCAACGTTCACATGTAATTATGAAATTATACAAGAATTTGTGGGGTGACTAGAGCTTCACTGTCCACCAATACGGGATAGCGCAACACCTGGATTCATGAAAAAGTAGAACTGTGGAAAGAGGAGAGGCGGCAGTAAAGCAGATTTTGGGAGAAAAGACAAGCTCCCAAGTGAGGATGGGTCCTGGAAGTGGGTTGCCAAAGCAGGGCTCTCATTGGGGTGTTTTGTCCTGGATAGGAAGAACTTGTTCATGCTCTTTTTCTCGTGGGATTCATGTGCTAGTCAGGTTATTCCTTTAGAAAACTACTGGTAAATGATTGTTCAAATCTTTGAGAGCTTTAAGTTTCAGAGACCATTATTGAGTGGTCAATGATTGCTTGAGTCTCTGAGAGCTCAGAAAGTAGTGTGACCTGGAAAAAAATCTTAAGTTGTAGACATCACCGGCCTGGTAAAGGATAACTGTTTTAAGGAGCTGCAGGTATTAATAGTTCCTTGGGTGAGCAAGCTATGCACAAACTTCAGTGAATGATTTCTAAAGACAATGGTGATTCCATCTTATGGGCCTCTACCCTAGATGTGGGTGATTTATTTCCTATCTGAAAATTACTTTTTTTTAGAGAGATTTTTGCTATAGGGTACATGGGCTCACCAGAGAGAAAGAAGATGGGAAATCACTCCACAGAGGAGATAGCCATGCTGCAATCTCTTTTCCTCCACTTTTCTCTTAGGATTTTGGGCACACATGCGCAAATGCCTGGCATGAGTTTCAAGCCACTGGGTCCAGGACTTGAACTGTGGTAGGGCATGTGGGAGTCCAGAGACATAACCATTATTCCATCTGCTGGTCCCTGAAAATTACTTAAAGATACTGTAATTCCTGTTTTGATTAGTTCTAAAAAAAATTACTCTGGCAAAATAAGAGTCAAAATAAAATATTCTCAACTGTCTCTAAATCTTCAGGAAGATTTCCAAAGATTCTTTTTTCACATTTCTTATTACTGATAGGTCACAGAAAAGTTCTTCTTACTGAATTATTTAGGAACCTAAGATTATCTCAGGCAGATAAACAAGAAAATTCTCAGAGGCCATAAAAGAAAATATTTAGAATTAACATAAGCTTAGTATAACTTCTAGTAGATCTTCGGCTTATAGTCTTGTGAAATTAATGTGAACAAATTTTCTGGCATTACCTGGGTCCTAGATGCTCCTTTTTTCTCTGAAGTGGCTTGTATTTGATTTTCGATTGCTTCCTGGACCCCAGAATGTTCCTGGCACCTGGGCACGTATCTTCTACACAGAACCTTGGAAACTCTTTCTCTGAAAAGTCAGACCAGATCAAGGAAAAGATATCAGCATACTGCCATTTCAGATTCCCCAGCAATACAGCTCACCAGGTAATTCTGTAGTTAGAACTGAAAAACATGCCAGGTGCATGTACCTGCATGCCCCAAATCCCAACAGGATGCAGAAACAGAATTATCTATAATTATGAATCCCACAGTCAACAAATGCCTCTCATGTATACAGCCTCACAACAATTTGTTAATGCTCTGTTCAAAGGATCACCAGACATCTGAGGTGATTCCAGCTTTCTAATATGCAAGAGAAAAAAAATATGTTGGGAGTAATAATCCATAAAAAATCTTTTTTAAAAGCTGTCATTAATATGCACAGGAGACAAGAAGATGCTGTATGTAGGAAAAGGCAGGGGAAAAAGCTCTAGGATTTTACAATGTAAGATTAAAATGAAATATAATAGAAGCACAAAAGATCTCAAGAAATGTACCCCACCCCAGTGCTCCTTTCCTTGAGAAGATTCTTAATGAAGTACTCCTCCAAAACTGACAAATGAATTCAAATAAAGACGTGAGATTGGGAAGCTGATGTTTCCCAGGAAAAGGTTGAGGAAGCTCCAGACGGCACACCCGTGGAGGTGCGGTACACCCTCTGGCCACGCCAGAGCAAGTCAAAGACTCCAGCAGGCCATGTGGCTGGAAGCAAAATTCCCAACGACTCTGCCAACTCTTGCTTGAAAATGTGCCATGTCTCAAGCAACTTAGATGGAAGTAAAGCTAACAAATTCTGGGAAAATGTGCTCTGAAATTCGAAAAGTGACTTTAATGTTGACAAAGACATTGATGAAAAGTATGTGTCTATACACTGGGCGTAATCATAGAATCTACCTATGGAGATATTGTGAAGTGTGAGTTGAAAAATACAAAGCACTTAGAAGGGTACCTAGTATTACTGAAAGCAATAAGCATTGTAGCTATTCTTATTAACATCATCATCATTAGGTAGGTCATTGAATACTGGAGTTAGACTTCCTGAGATCCTGGCTCTACCACTAGCTGTGCTACCTTAGGAAATTTACCTAAAACTCTCTGAACCTCACTGTTTTCCTCTGTAAAATGTCTATGGCAATGGTTTCTACCCATAAGTTGATTCAAAGAATTAAGTTAGATGAGGCAGGGTCAGCTCTGTAGCCTAGAAGGTAAAGGAGTCAGATCCCAGCCCCAGCAGCCTGAAAAATATATGAGGTGCATGTGCCTGCGTGCCCCAGTTCCCAACAGAATGCAGAAACAGAAAAGAAGGGATTGTGGTGTGACCATGCTTAGCTGGGAGGAGGGGTACTTTTTCCCCCTCTCTTTCTCTCTCTGTCTCTGTCTCTCTCTGGCAAGTGCACACACATTCTGGCAATTCAAAAAAGATGAAAAAACTTAGACAAGGCAATGGATAAACAGTGCCTAGCAAAGAAGTACTCCATGAATGCTAGATATGGATAGCAACAGTCCATTTTTCCATAGAAAATTACAATATTTTTAAATTTGGAAAAGGATAAAACTCTCTTCCATTCAAGAACTTTTTAGTTTTTATATATTTTTATATTTTGGTAACTATGGCATTTGTATCTCTTTGTATAATTTTAAGGTATTTAAACATTTAATATTTTCACAACATCTCAGTAACTACACTTTTAAGCATCTATCAAGTATATTATCAAAATAATTGGAAATAAATCACCTAAACACGTGTCGACATTCAGCTGGTTTGAGCCTGGCTCCCACAGAGGAAATGGAAGTAAACATCATTGTGTTTGGGAATTCTGGCTTCTTATTCTGTTCCCTCACACATGTTCTCCATGGCCAGCATCCAGGTCCATGGCCACAGCAAGGTTGGCAAACATTTCAACTCCCTCAACATCTTTGGATTCAGTATGAAAATAAAAACAAAATGTTAATTGAATAGTAATGAATGGTTTCAAATGTGGGTAATGTCTTAGTCCATCTGTGTTGCTAGAACAGAAATATTTGAGACGGAATAATTTTTTTAAAAGAGTTTTTTGCCCTCAGTCGTGTGCACTCACTGAAGTGCAAGACAGAGACAGTGAGAGGGAAAGTAAGAAACCACCCCTCCGGGGGAGGCATGCTGTAATCCCTTCTCCTCTGCTCTTCTCCTGGGAATCTTGGGCATACACGCACATGTGCCTGGCATGATTCTGAAGCCACCAGGCCCAGAACTCAATCTGCAGTCAGTCCTATGGGAGTCCAGCAACATAACCACTATGTCATCTGCTGGCTCCAAGACTGGATGATTTTTTTTAAAAAGAATTCTTTATTTAATTTTATTCATTGTCATTATTTTATTATTATTATTTTTTGACATCAACTAGAGAGAGACAGAGAAAGTGAAGGAAAATGAGAAAGTAAGCTGCCAAATCCAGGACTCGAACCACAGTCAGCCATGTGGGAGTCCAGCTGCCTTAACCACCACACCACCTGCCGGCCCCAAGACTGAATGATTTTTAAAGAAAAAAATGTTTATTTGGCTCATGATTCCGGCGGCTGGAAAGTGCAAAGGCATGGGTCCCACATCTGGCTGGCCTCCAATGCTGTGTTACAACATGGCCAAGAGGAGTGGAAAGGAAAGTGGGTGCATGCAAAGACAGAGAAATCTAGCATGCAACCAACCTGGTATTTCAACAAGCTGCTCAAGTGAGAACTAATTCATGAGAATTCACTTTCTTCGGGGAGTCGGCATTAATTTGTTCATGAAGGATCCACTCCCATATTCTAAATATCTATCATGAGGCCCCACACCCCAACACAGCCCCATTGGTATCAAGTTTCTATGCAGCCATGACACTCAAACCACTGCAGATATTTTCAAAATTTGCTCTAGAAATTGAAAATCTTGGTCCAGAATTCTATTTACAGCTACTAAAATTCCTCTCCCACTCTTCAATTTATTTATCACCCCTTGATATGTTCTGAAGTTTTCAGATTACTTATGTACATATGTGAAATGTTACATGTTTCTTTGTAGCAATCTTTAAAAATAATATTAACCTCATTGTTTTGACAAGTGATTTAACTTTAAAAATGAAGGATCTGGACTGAGAAGGACTTCTGCAGTATTCTTTCTTAGGCCCATGTGAAGTAAGAGGTCTCTCTGTGAAAGGACACAATTGGATCTCCTGCAGAGTGCTGGTCTTTCCCACTGAGGTTTGGAATCAGATCTTAGCCCTTCTCGTTACTGGCTGTATGATTGTATTAGGGGATGCCAGTCCTTGCCTTCCTCCCTTCCAAGAGTGTTTGTAGCAATTTGTTATTTCAGCTATAGAAAACAAATACAGCCTCTGTTGTAAACATGGCCATCTAAGAGTTGTGTATAATCACATCTTCCTCTCTGAACACAGCCTGAAAAGGTTCTCAAATTTTAGAACCTGTGACTAGATTGGGCCAACCTGGATAATCCAAAATAATCTCCCACCTCAAGAGCTTTAACTTAATTACCTCTGAAAAATACCTTTTGCCATGTAAAGCAATATACTCTTAGATTCTGGGGATTAGAAGCGGACATTTTTGGGAGCCATTGTTCTGCCTACCACACTGGGAGTACTGACCCAAACTGAATCACTCCTATCCTCTCTCTGGGTAATCTGAATTTTGAAGATAGTTCTTAAGTGAAAATGTTTTATAGAATTGGGTTGGTTCAAAGAGAGTGAGAGAAGCAGAAAAGAGTGATGTCCTGTCGCCCTTAGAATGGAGAGATTGACAGGATTACCCTTGAATACCAGGTTGTTCCCAGCTTGTCATGGCCCTCTGATACTGGAATACTGGTGCCCAGTCATGTGTTCTCTGATCTTTTCACTTGCCAGACTTCTAAAAGACAGGGCAAGGAATAAGAGCAGTGTATTTGCCAGTTGGTGTTAATAAAAATTGTCTGGCTCTATGAAGTCTGTCCCAAAATATTTTTGGAAGTTCATGGAGTCAGTCTATGCAGTGATGGAAGCTCATTAGTGGTACCAAGGTTCCACATTTATTTGGACCTGGAAAACAAGGCGGAAGTAACTTTAGTTCCCTCAAATGTGGATCTCCAGGTGTGGGAGAAAAGTAAATAAGGAAATGTGTAAAAGAGGGTATTAAGAGAAAGTAATTTATTTGGTATCCATACTATTGATTGCTCCTATGCCTCTCAATTCCAACTCATCTTTCTCAATAAATCTTAATAAAATAGATTTATTTCAAAGTTTCCTTGACTCCCAGAGTAGAAGTCATTCCTTTCATGTTGTCCACAAATGTGAGCACTCACTACGTGCTAGGCATTGAGTTAGGTGCTGAGAATGCACAATGAAAAGGCAAGGTAGTGGCATCCTTCTTTAAGTTCCACTTCAGAACTCTGCTGGCATTGACCCCTTGCTCCTTCACATGAGGGGTCCCAATCTTGTTCACTTAACCATTGCTGATCCCACCACTAATCTGTGAGCTCTTAAGGAGGAGATATTGGCGCATCTAAATTATGAGATTCCTTGAAGTTAACTGTACTACCTGTCCCCAGGACCAGCAGATGGCGTAATGGCTATGTCTCTGGACTCCCACATAGCTGACCGTATTTCAAATCTCGGACCAGGCGGCTTAAACTCACACCGGTGCATGTGCATGTATACCAAGATCCCAAGAGGAGAATGGAGGAGAAAGGACTGCAGCATGGACATCCCCCCTGGGGGGTGATTTCTCACTTTCTATTTCTGTCTCTATCTTTCTGACAACCACATGCGCCCTACAGCAAAAGCCCCTCAAAAAAAAACAAAAAAAAAGTGCCTGTCCTAACATAAATGAGCACAGAACTAATGATCATTTATTAAACACCAACTGCATACAATGCACTAAGTGAAGATGAGTCTATAAATGAAATTTAAGAAGATTCCTGCCCAGAAAATTCCAGTAGACCTTGAGAGATTGATGTCTACACTAAATACAGAGAACAACGAGAATAGGTCCCAAATACCACAGGAGGGGTACTAATACTAAAGA